ACTACTTCATGCCCAAAGACAAGGGGTTTCATCTTAGTGATTGTCGATCCTATATTTATCTAATTAGCCTCTGTTCTACAAAATATTTGTAAATGGCCAATTTTATTTTTAATCATATGTTCCAATAAATTCAAATGTATTACCCCCACTTATTTATATAAATCTATACCAAACAAAGTCTGAAATACTAGGCATGGCCTAGGGAAGATTCTCTAGTGCATTTTGAAGGAGCAAAAGTCTTAAATTTGAGTACAAAGAGAAGAAAAAAAGTTGCGAGAAATAGGGCCACAAGTGTGCTTGAGTTAAGATCGCTAATCATTTTAACGGTCAAACAAACGAATGATTGGCGTCTATTGAAGACCTACACGGCCACAAAACCAATAGTTTGGAATTCATTGGTTCCATTCATTATGTCAATGACCTACTTATCAAAGGTCGGGAATAAAAGTTCTCCAAAAATAAAGGTATTGATAATGAGAAAAATGGTTGTGTAACATATATACTACAAAGGATTAATCTATGTGTATATAGATTAATCCATAGAGATTGATTATGGGTCCCACCCCACTCGTATTATGTTAACCCTTAAGTGTACACTTATGTACACATAGCATGACCCTACTACAAAAGAGTTGAGTTACACGTACAGGAAAAATTGACAGAAATTCAACAAGAAATACATTTGGAAGATTTTGATTGGAAGAAGAAAAAAAACTGGCCAACAGGGGTGCTGAAATATCTAGGAGTGGCAAAAAAGCTTGTAGGCTCGGGCGGCTCGGGCTCGATTGCATCAAGCTCGGGTTGGCCCGTGTCCAGCTATTTTAAAAAAAAATTAATTCAAATTAAAAGTTGCATGCACAGCAGACAGCTACAAATTGTAGCTGCTGTGTGTGCAGGCAGCAATTTGTGCTGCCTGCACGCAGTTGGTGTGCACACAACTACAAAATTATATTCGTTAATTGAATTGTCTTATCAAAATTTGAATTTTTAAATTAAATATAGTTAAAACGGATATATTTTTTTGTCTATAAATACGAGAACAATCCAATTTCTTTTACTCTATTTTTCAATATTCTTTACTATAATACTTACACATGAATTTTACTAGTGATGAGATTAATCAGTTTAAAGGTAGTTTGAGTACTCCATTAGGGTACGATGCATCTCAAAATGTTCCAATTGATTTGGAAGATATCAATAGGAAGAAGTAGTTGAGGTTAAAAGGTCGAAAAAAGAGTTTGGGATTGTTGGCAACATATGACTCGTAAAAAAAAGTTGGGGTTCAAAATGGAGTTGATATGTGGAAAGTATGTTGCAATTATTGTGGTAAAAAACTTAGTTGGAAGTCTAGTTCGAGTACATCGCATTTAAGTAGACACATATTAAGAAGTTGTAAAGCGAAAAAAGTCGGTCTTGACCCGAAACATACCGAACTAACATTTATCGGTTCCGGTTCTACTCTTTCCACTTTTGTATATTCACAGGAAATATTTCGTGAAGGAATGGCTACATAAGTGGCTGCAGCAGAGATACTTCTAACAATGATCGAGTCAGCACATTTTACTTAACTTGTGCAGAATTATCTCCAATCCAGGTGCCATTCTTATTGTAGAAATACTCTTCGTTCTGATACTATAAAATTATATAACAGAAGAAAAAAAACTGCTATTGTAAGTCTAAAAACTTTTAATTCTGTTATATCACTTACCTCTGATTTATGGATCGATATTAATAAACAAAGTTATAATGCTGCTACAGCTCATTACATTGATTACCTATGGATTATGTATAAAAGAACTATTACATTCAGATGTGTAGAATATCCTCATAATGCGACTAACATATACATGATTTTAAAAAATATTATACAAGAATATGGTGTGTAAGAAATGGTTCGAAATTTTACTTTTGATAATGTTAGTGTAAACAAAATTGTTGTCGAAAAATTTATTAATGATTTAAACCCTACATTTGGAAGTTTATTTTTTCATCAACATTGTGTATGCCACATTATTAATTTGATTGTAAAAGATGGATTAGAACATATAAAATCACCGTTAGATAAAATTAGGCAAGCAATTAATTTTATTACTATATCACCATAAAAAAAACAAGCATTTAACAGTTTATGTGCAGAGTATGGCTTAGAAGAGAAATTATTTGTCAATGATGTATCACATAAATGGAACTTTACATATCTTATGTTACACTCGTGTGAAAATTATGATAAAGTTATTTCAATGTATTATAATGGTATGCATACATATGGACCCGAACGTAATTTGGAAGATTGGGAATTGAATCTTGTATTTGTCGTGAAAAAATTTTAAAACCTTTTTTCGATGCCACAAAGAAATGTAGTGGTATTTATTACTCTACATCTTCACCTGTTTTACAACACTTTTTCTATTTTGTACAAGCATTTAAAAAACATAGGAGTGTGTCAATTTTTGTNGTCAGTTTTTGTTGATGTAGTTTATTCTATGGAGTCAAAATTTCGTAAATATTGGGAAGAGATACCCTCTTTATTTTTATTAGCTTCGGTGATGAACCCTCGACTTAATTTAACTGGCACAAAAGTTACTATAAAAGGGATTTCAAATTTCATGAATGTACAATTATCACATGTGCATATAGAATCAATGTTATGTGAAATGTATAACCATTATTCTGAAAAAGAAGGTCAGTGTAGTTCTACTTCTCAAAGTTCTTTTTCAAGAAACATTTCAACAGATGCAGATAATATATGGAGTTATTTACAGACCAATACTAGTGTTTCCTTATTTAGTTCTAATTCTTCAATATCTAGAGTAATAGATATCAGTGGTACAAATCTTGAAATTCCATCCAAGTTAGCTAGGTATATGTGCGTGGATATTCGTAATATGTTACAATCACAAAAATTATAGGAATTTAGTCTTTTATAATGGTGGAGGTGTAACGAAAGATAATATCCAATTGTGTCACAAATTGTTCGCGATCTACTAATTCCGCCGATGTCTACAGTAGCATCGAAGGCTGCATTTAGTTTAGGTGGTCGAGTTTTATGTGACGAAGGATCAAGACTAAAAGAAGATATATTTGAGGTTTTAATATATTTGAAGGACTGAGAATGTGCGGAATTACGTCTTCAAGAATAAGTTGATAGTATAATGGCCGAAAAGTTATAGCAGATTAAAGTATAAGATATTGTAAGTTTTTAAATTGATTAGTTTAAAAAAAATACGTAATTTTTAATTTTTTTTGTTTCAAGAAAAATTGTACACAAAATATTTTATCCGTATACAATTTTAACACCGTCTACGATAATTGTAGCCGATCCCAAATCCGGATAAAGGAGGAGGAGTTTAACTTTTATAATTTCTTTAATTTATAACACGTATAAAATGTACAAACTTTAAATTCGTTAAGTATAAAATATAGATTTTACAAGAAAAAAAGAGCTGGCTCGGCCCGCTAAGGTTAGGGCTAAGCCTCATTTTTTTGGTCGGGCTCGATTCGGCTCGAGTTCAATTTTTTTTTTTCAATTTGGACTCGACTCGATTCGTTGACATAGCTAGCCATATCAGCGCCCTGTTCAAAAATTTGTACCTGCTGCAACTTTATTCACTACAAAATACAGAGAGAGGGGAGCGGGGGGGGGGGGGGGGGG